AAGTATAAAGTCCGTACTTGGCGCGGGCAATCACCTAGTTTAGTAGTAAAATCTTTTTATAAAACAGAAAAAAATATCAATATGGGGTAGATGATAGGAAAGAGAAAAAAAACTAAGTGATGAAACCGTCTAGCTACCTTTCAAAACTAGGAGGTCGTTTAGGTGCTAGACAGCGGCATAATGTGGCAAATTATTTTGTGGATGTGTGAAGAAGTTAAGTGGTTTTCCAATTGTTTCCAACTTGACGAATTTATAAGAGAAATCGTCAATTTATTTAAAAAAAATCGACCCAATTTATTGATGCTTCGGGGTTGTTCAACTTCAAGTTCTAAGTTTATAAATTCTATGCATCTGTCAGTGCACAGATTTGTGATATAATATTGGGAAAATTAGAAATATAAGACAAAAAACTAACTTATTGTCCTTTTAGGTTTTTTTTGTAATTTTATCATTTTTAACTAACTTACCCTTAATTTACTATAATAAAATTTGAAATAATAATTTATAAAAATTTTAAATAATTTCGTAAAAAACAAAAAAAGGAAAGAAATATATGTTAAATTTTTTTTTGGTAAAATCAAGATATAAAAAATATTATTTTGCTTGTTCTACGAAATCTAGAATTTATATTCTACTTTTATGATTTTGATGAATTATGTGTTTTACTATTTACTATATTATCTACCAAACTTGGAATATGTATTCTACCATTTACAATATGTTCTACCAAGTGATAAAATATGTATTCTATATTTTTCTCTATATTCTACGATAACTAGAATATGCATTCTATCTTTCTCTCTATATTCTACATATCTAGAACTGAAATTCCATAATTTATATCTTTATTCTACAGACTGTAGAACCAGTATTCTGTCTACGTAGTTAAGATAATCTAAAAAAAGATCTAAAAAAATCTAAGATCTAATTAATTTTCAAAACTAAAAAACCTTTTAACAAAATCTTCTTCTACGTCTCTTCTCTTCTGTCTCTTTCTCTTCTGCGTCTCTTTCATATATATATATATATATATATTTTTTTTTTTTTTGCAGTGTTTCTCTTCTTATCTGAGAACATGTTGCATATCTATGTGATTTGTGGGGTATGGAGATCAGATAACAATGTAAAGTTCTGAGGAATGAGATGAAACTAATTTAGCGTGAGAATCTAGGACGGTTGTTTTAGCTCCAGCAATAGCTCCGCCTGCACCTGAAAAATCCCAAAATCAATTAGCTGCGGTTTTAAATCCCTAGAAGCAAAAATAATTGAAAATATAAACACATAATCTAATTAAATTGAATATAATACACATACCCGATGCAACAAGATGAGGAAGAAAAGAGGCGGAGGACGGATAAAACCAAGAATACGAAATAATGAAGAGTCGGACAGGCGGAGAACGACGAAAGATTCGGTGCCGGAAGATGACTAGGCGACGAAAAGGATGACACGGTGAGTGAACTTTGACGGCAATTATGTCTGACGGCGAGTGTTTTTTGGTCGGGGAAGAAAAAATTGCCTCGTGTCTTTGCTTTTATGTCGATTAAGACTTTTTGTTATAAGGTTATTTGGAAATCTGTTCGACAACACTATATCAAACAATTTGTGTTTAAAAAGTTTGTGTTTAAAGAATTTGTATTTTTAGGGTAAAACTAGATTTTTATTAGTGAAAATTCCTCAGACTAACCTTTAAGGTTAATGTATTGACAAACTTAGCCTAACATATTCATCAGCTTACTAGACTAACCTTAGAAAGTTGGTGTTATATCATTTTGTCCAAATAATCAATATTATTACCAGATTGCCATTCTATTTTAAAAAAACTTCAAATTAAACATTTTAATACATCTATATACTTAATAATATTTTCTATACAACTCATATACATACGTATATACAAAAAAAAGAAATCATATACATACGAATTTCTTAAAACAGAAATTACAAAAACATAAAAATAGAAACCCTAATTCCGACGGCGACTTCAGAGGCGATTCGGTGACTTCAGAGGCGATTCAGGGTTCTGGGAGACGACGGAGGCGATTTCGGCGGCGATGAAAGTTTTTTCGGCCACTCATCTGGTAAGTGTTCACGTCTGGGTTAGTTTCTCGTCTCGAACAAGTTTTTGTCTTTGGTTTTCGCGACGGTTGTGTTTGGGTTTTACTCGCGACAGTTGTGTTTGGGTTTCAATGGTGGTTTCTCACTAACGGCGGAAGAGTGTTCGTAGTCGAAAACTGTTTTGGCCTTTACTCAGAAATCGTAACCCTTTGCTTTTTTTTTTCAGGGAAGTATTATTATCGGCAGGTTCCGTCTTTCGAGAACGGTTTCTAGAGAGCCCATACGATTTCCGGCGACCAATTTCAGTTTGTAGTGGTTCGGTTCTAATTTGTATTTGGTAGACTTTTCAGCAGTTGGTTGCATTTTTTCGATTTGTATATGCTAAACGGTAGATTTGTTCGTGTTTAACGGAGTTCTTTTCTATGTGAGGTAGATTTGTTTTCGTTTCATTGTCTGGTAGTATTGTTGGTAGAGTTATTGTTGAGATTGTATTGGTAGATTTATGTATTGTTGGTTGATTTATACCATGTGTGGTAGACTTGTGGTCGTATTTGGTAGAGTTATATGTTATAGTTGCTCCCGGGTTTGGTAGATTTTATATTATAGTTGCTTTCGAGTTTGGTAGACATGTTTATAGTTGCTTTTGAGTTTAGTAATTTGTGTTTGTAATGGTTGGGTTAAAAATTGCGG